TAAAGTATTGAATTTCTTAGTGATAAATTTTAAAATAAAAAACTGTAAGAGCAAAGTTTCCAATTCTTGATTGAAAATCCTATTTCAGCTCCAGCACTTCAGGGGTAAAGAGAGTATCCCCAAAAAGCTTGTGGGGTTAGAAACGCAAAGGGCTGTCACCAATGTTCACCGTGCCTCTTTATTTAATCTGTCAGTTTTGTGGGTCCTGTTCCTTCTCTTTCATTGCTTTTAATAGTAATTATGAAGCTGTAATTCCATCTGGGTATTTGTAGTTTGCAGTATACTATATCAAGAAAAATATGATACGGCAACTGCTGTTCTGTTTTTCCTTTTCCTTCTGTGGAATGGTGCTGATGGCAAAAAGATGTATTTTCATTAAGTTTCATGTGTTTTTTCCTTCTGAGGTTCAAACAGAAAACTGAATATAAACTAGCTGTTTCTTTTAATATTGCTCTCCATCCACTCAATAAACATCATAACAGCTTAGTAAGTTCAGGGATTTATCATTTGAGTATAAATGGGGCCATCTTGCTCATATATAATTAGAGATGGAGCCCAAACTGGAACAGCACATCAGAATCCCCTCAGACTTTGAGAATGCTTGTGTCCAGAAATGAACTTCATGACTTCTACTCATCTCTACATTGAAAAAGAGTCAACTGCGAGATGAATTAACTCTGTCGATATGGTTCAAGACTGAAAGGGTTGCCCCCTTTGTCTCCAGACAGCTTCTCCTGAGAACAAGAAATGAAATTGGTCCCACTGTCCCTGTGGACTGCCTATGGTGCTGGATCAGGATTTAGAAAACAGGCAAAAATTCAAATATGCACAGCAATGGATTGAGCAGTGTCCAAGTGATCACAGAACAATGACAGTGGTTCATAACTGAGTACAGAGCTCAGTCAAACCAAAATAAAAATTTAATCATTTTAAGAAAAACCGTGTCCACCTTTTTCTCTTTCTTTTGTTCACTAGATGCTGCTCCTTATTTTCCATTGCCCAGGACTTTGGTTTACTGAGCTCATAGCTTGCCAGATTACTGGAACCAATCTGAAATTTTGCCCAAAACAAGAAAGAAACCTATAGTAAGATTTCTAATCTATCTGTCTAGGTTCTTATATAACGTGCATCACTGTGGTGTCTGACGGTGAAATTCACCACAGTATACAGACAGCATAAGGCCTATGCAACACTTAAATTTATGCCATTTATGCCTTATTTTGAGGGATTAAGTGGGATTTAAGTGATGCATAGTCCTATGTGGATCATTTGCACAAGAATGAATTTCACCTTGAGTTAATCGTGAATTTTGCACATACATCTCTCTCATTCCTCCAATCAGCAGAACCTAGAGTTTGGGTGGAGGTTTTCTTTTGTTTTTTCTTTAGTTTTTTGTAGATTTGTTGTGGGAAGACTTAAGTCTAAGAAGTGAGTTTGGCAGTTTACTCTGAAAATGCTGATGTTCTGGTCATCCTAATATTTTTGGGAGTGAGTTTTGGATTGGTAGGGCAGTTATTGAGAAAGCTCCATCTTCCACATGAGGTTAATGCTTGATGTTGATGGTTCCATTGTTCAGTGGAGCGTAGCTGTTGTAGAAGGTCACTTGGGTTCACTTTTCAAATTCTAGTGTGTCTTTGGTCAATGTTGACATTGGTAGAACCTTCAGCAGTCTTCAAGACTTCCAAACAATCTGTCTACTAGTCATGAGTAAGGCTACATTTATGTCACGGAATCCGTGACTTCCAGAGACATCCATGACGTTTTCAGCTTCAGCCCTTGGGGCTGCAGGACTGGAGCTTGCAGCCAGTTGCTTCAATAATTGTATTTGTGATGTCCCGGGTCTCAAACCCAGCACTGTAAGTTCCCACACAGCCGCTGCATCCTGGCCTCCACCCAGTGTCTGATAAAATCTGGTGGGCTGAGGAGCTAGTAGGACTACAGTGTCAGCCAAGGCACCGCCCTGATCCGAGGAGCACCTGGCTCCACCAATTGGTCCAACCACGTTATTTAAGCCAGAAGGAGGCACAGGAAGTTGTCTGAGCAACAAGGTGATATACAAAATATAAACAATGTAAACTGTGCAAAGTTAATCAGATGTTTAAAATTCAGTTTGAGCAGCTTTTTAAAAATCATGAGTCAGGCCTGCAAAAATCATAAGTTTGACTTAAAATCATTAGATCTAAAATATTTTGGCTGTTCTTTTTATTTTCCTTCTGATTTGTGTTTTTAGGAATCACAAAAGCTAGAAACTGTTTTGTTTTTTTAATGAAAGCTGAAATTCTCATGTACTCCTGTGATTCCAGGAGCTGGGGCTTTAAAATAAAACACTAAATCTGGTGATACTTATGATAAAAATGTGAGAAACTCTGTTTTTTCTAATATAAGTTAGGCATTTTAAAAAATAATTTATAACCTAGTATTTTCCAATTAAAGTGATGACTAGAATGGAAGATTGTAGAACTCATACAATAGGTTTATTTTTATTGGGCACCAACAATGTGCTTACCATTGTACAAGCGGAGTAAGGCAAGGTTTTCCCCTCAAGAAGCTCACTGTCCAGTTATGTTGCCAGATTCATGTTTGTTTCTGTGAACAGATCCAGGTTAATGTACAGAATGACCATTTACCAAAAGCCTCATAATGAATTGAAAGTCACTGTGAGGAATAACTAAAAGCCATTTATAAAAAGAGTGTTATGTTCTAACACTGTTTTTTTCTCCGTGATTATGCAGAGATGGCAACAGTTGAAAGAAAGTTGCCAGCTAACCCTCACCCACAAATTTGTACCTTTGCTAATCAATTTGATCAGAAAACTAATAACCAATCAATCCTACTCACTTCCCGACAGCATGCCCACAAGTCCAGTTTCCTGTTGTTGTAGTTACGTTGTTAAGGTATCCCTTTTCGCTTCATTTGAAAACCAATCTTGTTTCTTTTATTTTATACATACCAGCATGCCTTCTAGCATTTAACTTCATCTTGACTTGCAACAGTAACTTCAATTTACACAGTGCCTTTTCATGCCAAAACATCTCAAGGCATTTTACTAAAGATGTCAGTAACTTAATCATACAGTCGGTATTTCCAAGTTCTACGTTATTAGCTGAAAACAAAGGAAAAAACAAGTGAGGTCAGGCTGATTTTAAGAGTGAAAGAATGGCTGCATCCTTGACATCTCTGGTTTGCAGAGAAAAGGTGCTAAATGAAAGAAACTACCACGTAATTTGACATTTACTTAATGATGAGATATGAAACCCAGAATCAAGTTACCTTGATTGTCATAAATTGTGACCACATCACAGCAAGAGCATAGTCCAAAATTCTGAAGGGCTTTGTTAACTGAGACAGCACCTGGCATCTCATTAGCAACCAGTTTAAATGAGCCAAAACTGAAATTATTTACTTCCTCCATCTACTGTAAATAGGATCTTAGTAGCAGAACTATTTTTTTATCAATTTTAGTCTGTTAATTGTGCAAGCAGCAATATCAGAAATAGTGCATTACTGAAGTCTAAACAAGAGAGAACAAAAGATATGTTTTATCACAAGAGTAGCAAAATTAAATCCTGTAATGTTCCTAATGTAGTACAGTAGAACCTCAGAGTTACAAACGTCTCAGGAATGGAGGTTGTTCATAACTCTGAAATGTTCATAACTCTGAACAAAATATTATTGTTATTTCACAAGTTTACAACTGAACATTGACTTAATACAGCTTTGAAACTTTACTATGCAGAAGAAAAATGCTGCGTTAACGATTTTAATTTAAATGAAACAAGCACAGAAAGTTTCCTTACCTTGTCAAATCTTTTATTAAATTCCCCCCCTCCTTTTTTAGTACTTTATGTTTAACACAATACTGTACTTTATTTGCTTTTTTTGGTTTCTGCTGCTGCCTGATTGCATACTTCCGGTTCCAAATGAGGTGTCTGGTTGACTGGTCAGTTCATAACTGTGTTTGTAACTCAGAAGTTCTGCTATAGTATTTTTGTCACAGTAGACCTGTAATTCAAATATTGGAGCAGCACAGCATTTGACAATGCATGTGTTAATAACATTGGTACATCATATATCACACAAGCAAAATCTGAGTGCAGTAGTTTAGTTTAATCCATTAAACCAACAGTTATTATGAAGGGACAACTGAACAAACCTTTACACCACTAGTGTCTTGAGCACAAATGTTACAGAAATGAAATAGCTATCAGTTACACTTGTACCTACAGTATTTAAGCAATGAGAAAGTAAATGCTTTCATTTGCAAGCAATTATCTGATCTATCAAAATTCATTGTAGAGCACAGTGAATAACTAGCAACAAATAATTTATTCAAATGTAGCCTATTTTTGCTTGATTAATATCAACAAACAAGGATTTCTCCAAATGCATTCATTATTCAAATTTATTAACAAATATCTTTGATTTTTTTAAATTATTGTTAATATTCCAAATTTGAACTGTGTTGCTTAAATATAATTAGTCAGTTGAGTTGCGTGGTATTGATTCACAACTGGACGAGAAAGCAAGCACTCCTGGAATGAATAAATACTTGTGCAAAATTTAAATCCTGTTTCCACAAATACTCCCACGTGTAACCTGAAATTTGCTTTTTGAAACATGTTTGCCAATAAAACTTGATTGTGAAAAGTGACCACCTTAGAGGAGTAAGAACTTAGTAAATCAAATGTATTTAAAATTCAAACTAATAGATTTTGATTTTATTTTAGTTAATTTTGCATTATTCAGTGATCTATAGTATGTTGTATTTCTGTAAGATTGTGGAATTATAACCAGGTATCATTAGATAAAGTGATGACATGTCTTGATGCACAAGTAGTAATGCATCACAAACTTAAAATGGTATTATGCTTTTTAAGAAATGGTAACTGATTGCTTTTGTTTTCTGTGTTTACATATTGATATCAATAACTCCGTATTTTCTACACCTGATCTTTTCTCCTACCTTCAGTGAGTATTAAATTGTATTTATTTTTATTTAGTCCTGAAGTTGTAAAGAGTGAACCATATGGCGAGAAGGCTGATGTCTGGGCTGCGGGGTGCATTCTTTATCAGATGGCAACTCTGAAGCCACCTTTTTACAGCACCAATATGCTCTCCTTGGCAACTAAAGTACGCAGGTTTGCTAGATCAAACTGCAGTTATTTTTGCATGCACCTACTGGGTCCCCCAGGGTTCAAATATATGATTGTAGAAGACAAGCTACTTTACAGTACAAAAATGTGAATGAGTAGAAGTAAAATCCGGGTGTGGACCAGTAGAAGTTACACTCTATACACAGTAGCATCTTACAGTTTAATTACCAATACATTTTTACCCTATCATTTGATGGTAGGATCTTTAGATTCTAAAGGTTTCTGATGGTACTATAGGGTTGGATTTACAATAGGGCGTGCATTACTAGCAGTCTAGAACATTATCATAGATAAAAGATATTTCATTTTTTGTGTAAATTTCACGCTGACTCACCCTGTTGTTGTTTAGCCCACAGTTACTTAATATTATATTAATCTGTTTATCTGATAACAAGTTCTGCATTAGAAGAAATGCTCCAAAGTTTCTTTATGTACTTATACTGGTGATGTAATGTCTGTCATGTTGTTCCAAGGAAAAACATTAATCACACAGACTTCCATGTGTATAATGGAATATCTTTATTTTCTTCACTCTCACCTATTTATTTTGCAGATAGTAGAGGCTATGTATGAACCAGTGCCAGAAGGAGTTTACTCTGAAAAATTGTCAGTTACTATTAAAAGGTAATTACTCATGTAGTTTTATTTCTCAATCTTACCAGAAAGGTGCTTTGTTTTGTACATTTTCATTAATACAGATGGCAATGTAACAACTTACTGACTTTAATAATCTTCAGTTTTTGTCTCTGAATGTAAAAGGACTTCAGGATTAAAGGAAGAAAGAGAGATGTTCTCACACTGCTAATAAGACATATAAGACGTGCCACTATCACCAGCATGTCTAGCCCTGTAATATTGGTTCCTCTTGTAAATGGTTTATTGGTTGCATGTTTCCTTTTTTATAATTAAAAAGTGCCTGACAGGTTGAGCCGTGTAATAAAATGAGTCTCCCAGTGCCTCTTTTTAAGATATTGCATGTTTCCATATTCTGCAAATTATAATGGAATGTTCATTTGTTTCTACTGATACAGGAGTTTCTTTAGAAATGTTTTAAATTCAGGATGTTTCTCTTGTATTTATCTTCATGTAATGAGAAGCATTTATGAATGTACAGTTTGTAAACATATATCTATAGATCAGAGTTACCTCTGTTGTATCCCTTGATTTTCTTTTTCTCAGCCAATGGGGGCTGCGGGAAGCGGCGCGGGCCGAGGGATGAGCTGGCCGCCCTTCCTGCAGCCTCCTTTGGCCTGGAGCGGCGAACCGTGGCCAGTGGGAGCCGCGATCGGCCGAACCTGCGGACGCGGCAGGTAAACAAACCGGCCCGGCCTGCCAGGGACTTTCCCTGAACAAGCGGCGGACCGGCTTTGAGAACCACTGTTCTAGTTCAGTCGCCTGCACTCAAGACAGGGCTAAGTACTTAGATCATCAGTAACGGGTGTTTATCTAACCTGCTCTTAAAAAGTCTCCAGTGATGAAGATTCCACAATCTCCCTAGGCAATTTATTCCAGTGCTTAACCACCCTGACAGTTAGGAAGTTTTTCCTAATGTCCAACCTAAACCTTCCTTGCTGCAATTTAAGCCCATTGCTTCTTGTCCTGGTCTCAAAGGTTAAATAGAACAATTTTTCTCCCTCCTCCTTGTAACAACCTTGAAAACTGTTATCATGTCCCCTCTCAGTCTTCTCTTCTCCAGACTAAACAAACCAATTTTTTTTTCAATCTTCCCTCATAGGCCATGTTTTCTAGATATTTAATAATTGTTGTTGCTCTTCTCTGGACTCTCTCCAGTTCATCCACATCTTTCCCAAAATGTGGCACCCAGAACTGGATACAATACTCCAGTTGAGGCCTCATCATTGCAGAGTAGAGCAGAAGAATTAGTTCTTGTGCTTACAACACTCATGCTAATACATCTCAGAATGATGTTTACTTTTTTTGCAACAGTGTTACACTGTTGACTCATACAGTATTTAGCTTGTGGCCCACTATGACTGGTGATAATGGGCAAGGCAAGAAGTACACGGTTTGAGTTTGTGCACTTCTGAGCAGCTTCAGCTCACCTTGCCTCCCTTTAAAAAAAATCAACCTGGAACAAAAATGCTTCTGCTTTCTCCCTCAAATGTGGGATTCTGCCTCCAAAAAAGTCAAACTGACCCCACAAAAGGAAGACTTGGGTCCTATATCAGTATCATTTCTATACATAGAGTTCCTGTTCTCTCATGGCCGTGAATGGTGAGAAAGTCTAGCTTTATGTCTAGGCTTAGCAGAATTCAATTTTTATTTTTTTTATAATTTTGACAGATACTATTGATGTTTATTGTTAAATGGTTTTTTAGATTTTTATTGATTTACATTTTCACAGTTGTGGAAAATTATCATGGGGGGTCAAGCAATAGGGGTCAGACAATAATTATATAATGACAGGAGATGCTGACATTAAAAGAGCTAAAGATTTAGAACTGTTAAAACACAAATTGTCAACATCACATGTCAGAACATAGATAGTAAATAGCCTTAAATCAAACTCTGAGTTCTCAAGCAGCACTTTTCTTACTGGGCCTGTCTGTACATTTAGATTATTATCAATGGAAGTATTTTTTTTTTTGGTCAGTTTGTGTGTGTATGGTGAAATTGATATTTACCAGTAAAAATCTAAACTTTCCAAGCCTATTGATGTATTGGAAAAGTTAGAATCCCAGCTTTCCAGTAGGATTCAAACTCTAGCTTGAAATGGTCCTGACATAAATTACTTTCAAGTCATGCCATTTTTAAGGCATAAAAACATATTTTTGGTTGTTTTCAAAGGGTTTTATGGCACCCTCCTGATCCCTGAACAGTTAGTTTCATGGTAACTAAGGGAGCCTGGCTATACAAGTGAAAGAAGATAAAAAACAATAACATTTCTAAAATAAGTATGGGGTTTTGTAGCATTTGTGGCACATTCTGGCACTCATTTGGAATGACTTGCATTACTCACTTACTGCTCACCACTTAACAATTATGCAGTCATCCCAAATGTATCCTGATAATACCTTCATCCTCATCGTGCCATAATCATGTATTTATTCTGTCTCTTTCTGACTGGATCAGATCCTCATGGTGACTTCAAGGGAGCTATCCCTTTTCACAGTGCTGAGGATCTGTCCCTTTATGTCTTTCCTCCTCCCTCTTATTCATAAATACATAATAATACTTCAAAATTTATAAAAGGAAGTATCTGATTGGTTGAGGGCCCACTATTCAGTTACCCTTTATAACTATACACACAGTGACTACTGTAACCTGTTCACTGATAATCCCATATAATTATCAATATAACTGAACTTTTCATCACTTTATCCACATTCTAATAAGTTGTAATCGATAATTATATGAAATATAATTTCATATAATAGATAATTATATGAAAGAAGCTGGGAATAAGGTGTCACTAGCACAAATACTCTGTTTGGGTGATATTAACAGTTGTGGCAAGCATAAAATAAACCAGATAAATATTCTGCATTCCTTAATGTTGGTCAACTGAAGTATTTTGTTCAGTTTTTGCTTCATACTTTCAAAGAGATTTAGACAAAATGAAAGAGTTCAAGGAAAACAGCAAAAATAAGAGATGTGGAAAATAAGATCTATGAGTAAAAGTTAAGAGGGCTGGACATGTTCACTCCAGATGATTGAGATGTGATCTCTGTCCATAATAGGGATGCTATAAATAAGCCAGGTATCAGTTTTTCAGCCAATGAGGAGCAAAGAAACAATGGCTTTATGTTGCAATTAGTAATTTATGTTCAGTATTTCAGGTAAAATTTGTAAATATAAGAACTTGTTGCCAGAGGAAGTTGTGAAATCACAGTCATGATTATATTCATGGTTAAATATCCATCTTTTAGATGTTCAGTAGTAAATAAACCAGTTCTGCCATGATGCAGGGGAAATGGATTAATGACCCACTAGAGGTCCTTTCCAGCTCACATGATTCTTGGAAATTCTCACAAATTTCACTGGATTGAAGTGAAGAAAATAAACTTCCCTTTGATTGCCATTTTTTAAAACAGCAAATAAGCCTGCATCTGTTAAAAGGAAAAGAATGCAAAAGTTTGAATAAAACCAGGGAGGAACAAAATGACATGCACCATAATGATCTTGAACAATTGACACAGAGAGAGATTTAAATGGACTTGTTTTCTCAAATACTGTATAAAACATCTTATAAGGTATTACTATAAATGTAGGATATGTTTATTAAAATAGCACTCTTTTAGGAAAAACAAAATCATTTTCTGAAATTTTCCCTTCAAGAAGTGTGTTTGATTCATGTATACACATACCTGAACTCAGCTGGTTGAAAGTACTTTGGGGGCAGATCCTCAGCTGCTGTCAATTGTCCTCTGCTCTGCCACTCTTCTTTAAGTATCAGATGTAGACCTTGTCATATATTATTAACATATAATGCTGCCCTACAGTTAACTGCAGTATATGAGACAATACTGAATGTGAGAACACTGCTTAAAATTTACCACTATGAAGACTTTTGCAATAATATTTTTATAAACTAGTTAGCAGATGTTCTCACTTTGTACTGAAGTGCTCTGTACCAGTTGAACACTGTATGCATTTGTTTGTTTGGTTTTTATTCATTTTTGGAATTTCAATCTGCTGACCTACTAGATTTCAGTTTTATCCCAGCTGCTGCCCAATATGACCACTGATAATTACCAGTGAATATGTGTTAGTGATATTAAGCAGATATCCAGAAATAGATAAATAAAACTATGTTGTTATGCATAGATTTTTCATTAGGTAATGGGTCTTTCAATAGGTGCTTGACTCCTGATGCAGAGACTCGTCCAGACATAGTAGAAGTCAGTTCAATGATATCTGATGTGATGATGAAGTATTTAGATGGATTGTCCACCTCCCAATTTGCTTTGGAGAAGAAGCTGGAGCGCGAGAGGAGACGCACCCAGAGATATTTCATGGAGGCTAATAAGAATGCAGTGACATGTCACCAGCAGCTTGCCATCTTATCTCATGTAAGTAAATGACTTAGGGTTTTGTTTTTTCTTTTATTATTATTATCACACTGTGCTATGCCTGTACATTTTGGGGACTAATAAAATATATGCATTTCTCAATTAAAGGGCTTATTGTTTTATAAAAATTAAAGTTGAAATCCATGCAGATTTTAAAATTTATTTTAAACTTGATATTTATTAATTTTCCCATGTGCACACAAATACAGTAACAGTTACAATATCTTACAACCTACCTTCATCCAATATTGAAAATGGCATGAATCAGACTGAAATATACTGGCTCTTGCGTTTTTAATAGAATCTGCTAACATTTAATTATGTATGCACATTTTGAAATGGTTAGTTAATAGCAAAATGTACACTTGGCCGCAATGGAATAATTCTGTGCCTGATTCACAAACGATGGCACCTAGAAAGTGGCACCTACACATATTTAATTTTTAATTACAGGTTGGTAGATAAAGAGTAGTGAGCTGATAGTGTATTTGCTAAGCTTGTCTTGGTATCTGATATAGTTATTTAGAAGCATCTTTTACAGTTCTTTCATTTTGCTTCAGGTTTTGTTTTGTGAGCTTGTGTTTTGTGAGCTTAGTCAAGGATTTCAGTGTTTTACTTAATGAAGGTCAGCTCATATGTATTCTTGGAGAATTTACTGAAAAAATGATAGAAAAAAGTTTTCCACAGTAAAAACTCACAGTATAAATTATTATAAACACAAGAAAAAAGTAAAGTTATGATAATTTATACAGCTATACTGGTAGATTCAGTAATCACATCTCTCTGAGGAGGGCACTTTTTAACTCTTCTGTTATTTGGGCTCACCCTTATAGCTCTCACTGAAAATCTCTGTCTCCTAGAAAAAGATTGAGAGTAGCTCCCAGTCCCCAACCAGTGGATTTCTTAAAGATGCTTCCTTGTCTTCATCACTAGCTCAATATAACATTTCATGGAACAAGTAACTTATTTTTGCATTGCATAGTTTTGCCTTAATTTTCCAAATCTCCCACTCCAATAAAACAATCTTTATTAAATTATTCCAATTCAGATTTTTTTTTCCAATTTAAAGGGACACCAACACACATCACACTGGTGTGAAATTTTTGTGCTATGGTTACAAGTCAATCATGAAGGTAAGGTAATCATTAAAGAAATGTATTGGGGAAAATATTTTCCCTCCTCTCCCCTGTCCCCCTCTGCTGCCAGTTTGCTTTCCACATATGAAAGCTCACTTCGTTTATAGGTTTCAGAGTAGCAGCCGTGTTAGTCTGTATCCGCAAAAAGAACAGGAGTACTTGTGGCACCTTAGGGCTGGTCTACACCCAGCCGCTAGTTCGGCGGCTGGGGATCGAAGTTCTGGGTTCGACTTATTGCGTCTGGTCTGGACGCGATAAGTCGAACCAGGAAGTGCTCGCCGTCGACTGCGGTACTCCAGCTCGGCGAGAGGAGTACCGCGGAGTCGACGGGGAGCCTGCCTGTCGCGTGTGGACCGCGTCTGAACCGCGGTAAGTTCGAACTAAGGTATGTCGACTTCAGCTACGTTATTCACGTAGCTGAAGTTGCGTACCTTAGTTCGACTTGGGGGGTTAGTGTAGACCAGGCCTTAGAGACTAACAAATTTATTAGAGCATAAGCTTTCGTGGGCTACAGCCCACTTCTTCGGATGCATATAGAGTGAAACATATTGAGGAGATATATATATACACACATACAGAGAGCATGAACAGGTGTTATTCCATCTGTTTGTGCTCTCTGTATGTGTGTATATATATCTCCTCAATATGTTTCACTCTATATGCATCCGAAGAAGTGGGCTGTAGCCCACGAAAGCTTATGCTCTAATAAATTTGTTAGTCTCTAAGGTGCCACAAGTACTCCTGTTCACTTCGTTTATAGTCATTTTCAGTATCTTTGGATGGTCAGTTTCATTTCCTGTCTCATGCACTAAAATGATAACAAAACTCATCATGCACAGCGGTGGAAGAGCTCATGAGAGTGCTTGCCAGGTTTTGGAAAATGGTGTATAAATAGGCAATTAAAAAAATAAAAATCTTACTGTAGGTTAAAAACTAAAAATGTATTTATTTTTATACACATACATTATACAACAGTATGAAACCAAGCAATTTATATTTAAACATTCTCCTAACAACTGTAATAACTTGAGTTCGCTGTGCTTTACTTTAATAAAACTAGCATATAAAATACAAATTTTCTTAGTTTTAAATCCTGGTTCTGGTTCTGTGATATTAAGGGGCACCTAGGAGCCTTACTGTTATGTATGCTTGCCTTTTACCCAGATGAGCAATCTGGAGGATCTTCAGGCCTCAGTCCATGGCCAGGGTCTATAATGCTGCTTAGTAAGAAGCTCCTCCAAATGATTTCCCCATCTTCCTGAGGATCCTGATCCTATTTGTGTTCAACACACAGGATGCAGAAGCTACTGCATGGATTTCCTGTCTCGGCTAGGGAGAAGCTCAAAAGAGGAATTTGTTGCCATTTTCATTTTAGAAAATTTATACTTTGTAGGGGTTGTATGGGAGAGGTTGTAATCTCACTGCCCTTCAATTGTCTTGTGGCATGTGGGGTTCTTTGACATTATGGCCCTTAAATACTGCCCTGGGCTGAAAGTTCCATTGTGAAGTATGTGACCGTAGCAACATGCATAATATGTAGAGTAATTCACCCCATAGAATTGTGCTTCAGAATCTGAGCCGCCTCTTTGAGTGGTTGCAGACATGTATTCCACTCAGGTTTGTGCATTCCCAGCACACTGAAGCCAGAAAACGTTGCCTAGAAGTACCCATAGGAACAATGCTTATGCCCTCTGGTCATATAGCCCCACCTGAGGTTATTTAAAGGCAGTGCCATGCCAATTCCCTCAGTTCCTTCTTACCATCCACAGCTTGAGTCAGAACATTCTATGTTGTGTCTCACCTCATACTTTTCTATCAGTGTTTCTATGATTTTGTTGTATATAGTGTATATGTTGTATTTATTGTTAGCTATAGCAGTACCCTTAGGTTTTAGGTAGTTAGTAGTTAAGTAGGATTTAGCCTGGTGGGCTGCCCTTGCCAGGTTTTAAACACTGCTCATTGTGTAAGGTAGCTATCCTTATTACTGCCCCCCACCCACACGCACACTCGTAGTTTATTGTACCTAGAAGAGAAGGGCACATTATGGAAAGGTTCTCCATCTGTAAGTCATTTAAGATGAGAATGTAGGTGTCAAGAGACTTGTGCATTTCCTTTGGTTCTGGGAAGCTTAACTTTGGACACCCATGTTTTAAAAACTTGGCCTTTGTATGTCAGGCATCTAACATTTAATAGAATCTGTACAATAAATTTAAAGTAAGTTACTTTTGTTTAATTACTGTAGAAATACCTGTTGGATTACATAGTCACCTTCCATTATCATTTCATGATTACACATGATCTCAGGAGTTGGCTACCTTAGCTATAATGCTTAGAAGCTCTGAGGAAGCAAACATATTCACATATCCTGGGATGTAATTTCTATAACTGCCAGCTTTTTCCACTTAAAATATCAAAATTAAAAAACCAATTCAGGCTAAATTTGACATTTGGCTGAAAGTTTGGAGAATATATTATTGCCCTTACATAAATAGATGGTACGCCCACGTCTTGAATACTGTGTACAGATGTGGTCTCCTCATCTCAAAAAAGATATACTGGCACTAGAAAAGGTTCAGAGAAGGGCAACTAAAATGATTAGGGGTTTGGAACGGGTCCCATATGAGGAGAGATTAAAAAGGCTAGGACTTTTCAGCTTGGAAAAGAGGAGACTAAGGGGGGATATGATAGAGGTATATAAAATCATTAGTGATGTGGAGAAAGTAGATAAGGAAAAGTTATTTACTTATTCCCATAATACAAGAACTAGGGGCCACCAAATGAAATTAATGGGCAGCAAGTTTAAAACAAATAAAAGGAAGTTCTTCTTCACACTGCGCACAGTCAACTTGTGGAACTCCTTGCCTGAGGACGTTGTGAAGGCTAGGACTATAATAGTGTTTAAAAGAGAACTGGATAAATTTATGGAGGTTAAGTCCATTAATGGCTATTAGCCAGGATGGGTAAGAAATGGTGTCCCTAGCCTCTGTTTGTCAGAGGTGGAGATGGATGGCAGGAGAGAGATCACTTGATCATTACCTGTTAGGTTCACTCCTTCTGGGGCACCTGGCATTGGCCACTGTTGGTAGACAGGATACTGGGCTAGATGGACCTTTGGTCTGACCCAGTATGGCTGTTCTTACGTTCTTATATTCTGCAGGAAATTCCAACATTTCAAAATTTCTTTACATTCTAAATCAGAATGAAAAGTTGAAATTTCAGAATTTCTCTAAGTGGAAATTCCCAAAAAATTGATTTGGAAGCATTCCAAACCTTTTATTTTGCTAATGTCAAAACATTTTGTTTTGATTAGGTAAAATTGTTTCATTTTGAAAATGTCAAAACATAATACAAAATATTACATATTATACACAGAAGTAAAATATAAAGATAAACTATAATATTAAAATTAAATTATAAAAATCAAAATGAAATAAAACAATAGTCAAAATGAAACATTTTTACCTTATTGAAATGAAACATTGACACTGAAATTAAATGTTTTTATTAAGCAAAAAATGAAAATGACTTTTTCCCATAGAAAATTTCATCAAAAGTGACACATTCTTGAAAACATTTCAAAGGCATTTTCTGATGGATAACTTCTCTCAAAATTTTTTGACCAGTTCTACTTCAATTGCTCTCAAAAAATTAAGTAGAGAGATAAGTACTGAGTGAGGTCTTTTACATGCTTTGATTGGGGGCCAGGAGTCTGGTGTGCCCTTTTCATCTTAGTGAGGCCCCCTTTGTCGTCATAGACAGGCAGTTGAAAAAAATACAGACTGGATGCTTTTTGTATTTCCCAGTAACCTGAATAAGTAGATATTCTTTCAGCCTTCCCAATTTTCAGTGCCTTCTTGGAAGGAT